CTGGGTTGCTGCCAACGTCTTGCCAGTGAGTCGTGTTGGGCTTTCAGCCAACAGGATTGTAATTGCTGTAAATAAAGAGTGGCAAACTACTAAGCTGGTGTTGGCGTTAATCACTGGACGGAGGGAGGTCAGAACAGGTTCCCAACCCAGAGGCTGTGGCCCGTTCGGAACTAGTCCACGGAAGCAGTGAGTGAACTTGTGTGTACGTTGCTCCACTTGTGCAAGTGGCAGGTACTTACATTGATGTGCAAAACTCCATTTGTGTGAGTGATGGGTGCACAGGACACCTACTTCCACAAATGGAGCTGCGTCTGCATGCGTCTTCCTGCTGCTTGCAAAGATCCATCTTCTGTCTCTCCCCTCCCCCCCCCACGCTCGTCTACAATGCCAGAAAGTTTAGGGACTGCTGTTTTAAATCATCAATCATATCGAATTTGAGTAGAGCTGAAAACATGTATCAAAAGTACTGGATTCTAGATGGTTTTCTGCCTCCTGATACAGATTGTGGAGATATTTTTCTTTGAAGAAAATGAAGATACAAAAGAGAAACATACAAACAATAAGTTCTTTTTATGTTTGTTTTTTATACTAGATCAGACATATAAAACACAAGTCCCGTCGGTCAGAACCAGCCCGCGATCAGATTAGGTGTGGCCCGCGTGGCCACCCAGAAGACAGCAAGGTGCCGTCCCACACTGCTTCAACCCTCCCCACCCCAGCTGGACACTACCCCTGGGTGTGTGCACAGGAGATGGTGAGCATGCAAGGTCCGGAGAAGCAAGTGGGCCATGGAGGCGGCAGTGGGCATAGTGCCGGGCAGTGCATAAGAATAAAGGCGGCTGAGCAACCCCTCAGTTAGGCTGGTCTGGAAGATCCCAAGGACCCGGAAACTTGAGGACTGGTCTGGGTGCTTGCCCTCCATTGCTCAAGGCTCTGGGCAGCCCGTGCCTCTATCCAGGGGTCCTCCATGTGGCATGAGAGGGATGGTGAGGCTCCTTTGGTGGGAGAAGCTTTGGTGCTTGTTCTGGTGTCACCTTCCTCTGCTGGAGACCTTTGGATCCACATTTCCAGTCTTGCCTGGCCCATAATAGGTGGAGGATGCTGCTGTATGTGGAACTGTGGAGGAGAAAGCTTGCAGGAATCAGTTTCCTCTAGGTCCAACTTTTGCCTTGACAGATCTCTGGAGAGGAGGATGGGTGCCCCAACAAGCCAGCACCTTTACCACACATAATTAGAAACAAGGATTTCCTTTTAGAAAGGATCAGCCTCTCTCGTGCAGGACCGCTGGGGAGTGCTGCTCCCCTGCCATCTCTTCTTGCTCTCCAGAGATCATTCAAGGCAGAAGTTGGACTATGTCCCCTGCAAACTTCCTCCACCCTTCCACACTCAACAATCTCATCCCTCCACCTGTATCTTTGCTGGGAGGAAGCACTGGACAGGGAAACAAACACCAACGATGTCTGAGATTGGGAGAAGAATGTCTGCTTTGTCATCCTGTGCACACAAACACACACCAATCCAAACTTGGTGACTTTTATCAACAACTGAGCTTGCAAACTGACAATCATGCCTGGGCTTCAAGTTTCAAGTTTAATAAAATTTGTATGCCACCCACTCCCAGAACAGCCAGGTCTTGACGGCTTTACGGAAGGCTGGGAGAGTGGTAAGGGCCTGGATCTCAGCGGGTAGATCGTTCCACAGGGCCGGCGCAGCAACAGAGAAGGCCCTCTCCCGGGGAGCCGCCAGCCGGCATTGTCCGGTTGACGGCACCCGGAGGAGGCCCAACCTGTGCGATCTTGTTGGTCGTTGGGAGGTAAGCAGCAGGAGGCGGTCTCTCAGGTAGCCAGGTCCTAAACCATGTAGGGCTTTAAAAGTAACGACTAGCACC